ACTGCAGGTAAGTATAAAGAGTTCAACACCAACTCTACCCCTAGTTTCTCTAAATTCAACTACAGTTCTTGTTCTTCCTGAGAATCTTTGCTCTGTAAACATTTATTCAGTGTTCAAAGCATTCTGTGTGTGTGTGTGTGTGTGTGTGTGCGTGCTTATACTTGATGTATTTTTTGTCCCTTTTCATGTTGTTATGAGCGTTATGCACCAGTTACTATCAATTTTCTCTTCATGACTTCTTTGACTGTTTATGTGTGCTAGAGAGTCACCTTGTAGGAGATCATGTATTCCATCATTGTTTGGTCTATCTATTGCTACGTAAGCAGTATTAAGTAGTAACTACTTAATCTTCTTTCTTCTTTCTAACATAGGTACATCTTCTTCTTTCTTTACATCTAACATATTTACATCTTTACATTTCTAACATAGGTACGACATATTTCGATTTTGTTGTGTTTTGAAGTGAAATTATTTTGAAGATGGAAAAGCATTTTCTCCCATTTCCTCAGAAATGGACAGTCTCAGGAAGGCCCAGAAGGTATGGAGGAAGATTTGAGGAAGGCAGGAGAAAGATGGGTAGGAGATGGTACTGAAATGATTGAATCTAAGGACTTGTCATAGATATTTTAAGAATAGGACACAAAGCATTGTGGATTGCCAAGTTTGTAAGATGTGATTTATTCATCTCTCAGATTAAATTACATCATCCATATAATATTTAACACAAATTCTGGTTTATGAATATAAATGAGTTAAACAACACTTGACAAAAAAATATGAGAATTGGATTATGAAAAATTCTGAATAAATGTACATGTTTTAGTTTTAGGAATGTATCTAACCATTGCTTTTAACACAAACAGGATAGGTCAGAATTCCCTCCCAACAGGTTACTCGCAATGGATGTTCTGTCTGATATCCAGGTTTACATAGAAAATCAACAGTATCCCCTGTTGGGGCATACATTTTTTTCATAGAAGACCATCGAAATTGTATGTTATGCCTTTCCATGACGTCTTCTGATATTATACATACATCTGTAGGTTAAAAAAAATGAACATAAACATTAAGTATTAAACAAATATTTTCCACAGAATTTCAGACTTTCAAGTACAATCTTCCCAAAACCTTTTCCAAACCAATACACTGAAAATCCATCATGGAGATGTAAATCATTGTAACTGATTAATGATGTAAAAATGAGTTCCTATGCTTAAAGTGTGATAATTAAATGTTGTCATGAAAGATTCATCATGTCAATTACAACAGGAGGGGCTGTCATTAAGAACATTTTGTTGCTGTTATTGCTTGGGACACAAGGCTTTTCCTCCTTTTTTTCTTCCCACGTTAATATTTGGTAGTCAAACATTTGAGAGGATAGTTGTTGGTTAATCTGTGAAAATTCTGTTAAAAACAGCAAAACATCTTTCTCATTATACTGATTTCCCCAGGATCCATGTAAATATTAAAATATTTACCCAAGCACTTTGGTGGTGTGGACCACTGCCCATAGCTGCATGTTATGATCATGTTTCCCTAAAGCACATACAAGGACTGGCACTGGTACTCAACTGACGATCCTGGGTCATATTCCGATTTGGGGAATGTGGTCATGTCTCCATTGGCAATACGTGGAGGGCGCCCACATTTGTCCTTAGGGTCTAAAAACAATATTATTTGATTTATTGAAAGTCCAAAGAAAAACCGATTAAAGTAAAGCAAATAGAAATATACCATAATATACAATATCAAGACTTGCGATTTCTGCTGACAGAAATGATTCATTGAAGAAACTGTAGTCACTTAAACTGAGAGGGGCGCCTGGGTGGCTCAGTTGGTTAAGCGTCCGACTTCAGCTCAGGTCATGATCTCATGGTTTGTGGGTTCGGCCCCACATCGGGCTCTGTGCTGACAGCTAGTTCAGAGTCTAGAGCCTGCTTGAGGCCTCTCTCTGACCCTCTCCTCCTCACGCTGTCTCTCTCTCTCTCAGAAATAAAAAAGAACTTTAAAAATTTTTTTTAAAAAAAGCCCTGAGAATAATACTTTTAAGCCCTTCCCTTTATCCCACATGAAAGTACACATAAAGCATTAACAAATATGTCTGATTTGCAGTATTTTGGTATTAAAAATATTTTTCCTAGTGAATAAATGCCAGACAAATGGATAGCTAATATACACAAGGAAATCTTCTCATTAGTTACAACATACTGTAGTGTCTGCTGGATCTCTAGTCGCTGTGTATTGATTTTCATTGTTATTACAAAAGAAACTCAGCTTCTTTAATTAAGTCAAAGAATTACAAATTTGTATAATGTGAAAAGGAATTGCGGTCTCCTATGGACAGGATGAGGTAGAAACATTTCTGCTTATCTCTTCTGCTAAGGAAAACNTTTGTATAATGTGAAAAGGAATTGCGGTCTCCTATGGACAGGATGAGGTAGAAACATTTCTGCTTATCTCTTCTGCTAAGGAAAACTAAAAACCCTGAACATATTCTAAAAAACCAACAAAAGAGGTTACGAGAGGTGCAGAGTAGATATCAATCTGATCAGAGACCTTGGGACTCAAGGAATTACAATGCAATGAGTTTGGGTTTCCATTTTGCCTTCTATGGATACTGGACTAAACACTGAAAAAGACTGGAACACAGAAATGGAATCAAGTTCAAGAAAAAAAAAATCCCCAAATTATCTGCTCTCTTTAGCTAAAAGCCCAGGAAAGAAGTATTCTAGCAAGATAGATACTTTCTTTTACAGTAATTGAATAACTCCCAAAAACATCATAGCTAAACTTCGACCAGTCCTCTCCTTGTGTTGCTAGAGATCAATAGTGACCATCAGAGGCCGGTGAGGAGTCCAGACTTCTGTCCACATACAGGGAACAAGACACCTCTTCACTTTCCATGGTGTCAGTGGAGGCCAAGTGGGAAGCCTGGACTTGCACTGTGTCTGGCAGTAATGGAGGCCTGATAAATAAGAGATGTCAATAAAACCCAGAGCCTTAAAACAGAGTATCCCAAATGTCTAGAATACAACTGACAACCACTCATGATACTAGCACAAAAACAGACACTCAGATCAATGCAAAAGGACAGAGAACCCAGAAATGGACCCACAAACATGGGCAACTAATCTTTGACAAAGCAGGAAAGACTACCCAATGGATTAAGACAGTTTCTTCAGCAACTAGTGCTGGAAAACTGGACAGTGACATGCAGAAAAATGAACCTAAACCACTTTCTTACTCCAAACACAAAAATAAATTCAAAATGGATGAAATGTAAGGACCTAAATGTAAGACAAGGGTGCCATAAAAATCCTCAAGGAGAAAGCAGGCAAATACCTCTTTGACCTTGGCCGCAGCAACTTCTTACTCAACACATCTCAGGGGGCAAAGAAAACAAAGGCAAAAATGAACTATTGGGACCTCATTAAAATAAAAAGCTGTTGCATGGCAAAAGAATCAATCATCAAAACTAAAAGTCAACCGATGGAATGGGAGAAGATTTGCACTCATTGCCAAGGACTACTGTTCAGATACTGCCTCCTCAGGCCCTCTACTCATCTGCTGGTAGCTTAATTTATATACTGTATTATAAATTATATTAGTAAAGATATCAAACTGAAACATGAAACAAAATAAAGAACCATGTTCAAGGCCACATAGCTAGGCAAATTCTAGGGTTCTGAAAATTTATATAATATACAATTATTCTTATTAAACCTATACTTTTTACTATCTATTAATAAATTGTTGATTTTTCTGATTCAAATTAGGGATGTCTAAAATCATCCCTTCAAATTTTTCATGTTTGTGGCATTTTTGGCGTTCCTGAATATTATTCAACATGCATTTTTCTAATTTAGAATCTTCCTATCTTGCTAACTAATTACAAATTAGAATTTAAATATTAAAATTATACTAAAAAGAAAAACAGTCCTTTGAAATACTCGAGACTTAGTGAATATGAAGACATTTTACAGACAAAGAAGAGTGAATGAAGCTGCAAGTAAGCTTGGCTGTTGCCCTAAGATACGTGTTTAGCCAGCTGAGGGAATTGGAATTTGCTAGAATTTGACCAGGCTGACTGCACTGGACTCACTTATACTTCCTCATCCTTCAGTCATTTTCTTTTCTCCACATCTAGGAGAATATTCATTCCAAAAAGTTTTCTTCTCCCAATTCTATGGGTCCTTTTTTTTGCTATCTACTCTGCTGTCTGTTCCTCTTCTACCTGACACCTAAATGTTGCGATGCTTCATGGCTCGGTCTTTAGCTCTCTTCTCTTTGGATTCTGTATTCTTTTCCAATTTCATATCCTCATTTCTGCAGTGACAATTCCAGATATGTATCTCCTGGCTAGACCCACATATTTTGATTGTCCAATTTTGATTGTCCATGGGCAGCTCAACCAGAATGTGCTCAAGACAACAGTTGGGATGTTCCTCCCAAAAGGATCTCCTTTTGTTCGCCACCTTACAAAAATGCACTACCATTTATCTGCTTATGAAAAAAATTAAAAACAAGCCAGTGAGTTCCTTGATTATTACTCTTTCTTACACCCACCGTATTTTCCACCAAAAGAACATATTTTGAATGTGTTCTGCTTTGCATCCTATCAGCCATCATCCTATTCCATACCATATTCATGCTGCATAAACTCTGGAATCTTCTCTTGCCCACCACAATCACATAATATGGGGAAAGAAACTTTAAAAATCTAAATAAAATTGTATTACTTCATTCCTTAAGACTCTTTTATGGCTTTTTATCAATCATAAAGGTAATCTAAATGTGCTGATAGATCTGGAAAGTAACCTGAGTTATCTTTTCCTTGTCTCCTAATGAGGCTTAGTTCATAAAATTCTCCCACAACTTGAGTAGAATCTGCTCACTCCAAAACTTCTCAAATATTCTTCTGTTATCAAAGTTTTGCACATAGTGTTCCCCTGGCGTGAACACTCTATAGCCACTCAAGTTTTCCACAGATTCAAGTCCTACTCCTAATCCTGGAATGCAGTGGATTAGCAAACATGAAAGAGATTCATGAAATAGTCCACAGAACCTGTCCATGTCAGAAATAAAGAGCTTCTCTCAGGGCCTGCAGAAATTAGCACTTAAGGCAGAAGGTATAAAAGCAGAAACTCAGGAGTAAAACAGCTGAGGAAATTATGAGAAACTATAATTTTGGTTTTCTTATACCACACACACTAAAAGAACTCAGTTTTAAATACTATGAAATCCTGCATTTAGAATAACAAACACAATTATACTTTGTTTACACATCTATCATGTATATGGTAAACATTAAAAAAGTTAAAAAGATAGATTTCCATTTTGACCAAATTTGCATTATTTAAAATCATTTTTAAGGAGTAATGATTAAAAGCAAGGTGTCTCGCAGCAACTTCTTACTTGACACATCCCCAAAAGCAAGGGAATCAAGAGCAAAAATAAACTGTTGGGACCTCATCAAGATTAAAAGCTTCTGCACAGCCAAGGAAACAACCCAGAAAATTAATAGGCAACCAACGGAATGGGAAAAGATAGTTGCAAATGACATATCAGATAAAGGGTTAATATCCAGAATCTATAAGGAACTCACCAAACTCCACGCCCGAAAAACAAACAACCCAGTGAAGAAATGGGCAGAAGACATGAACAGACACTTCTCCAAAGAGGACATCCAGATGGCCAACAGACACATGAAACGATGCTCAGCATCCCTCCTCATCAGGGAAATACAAATCAAAACCACACTGAGATACCACCTCACGCCAGTCAGAGTGGCTAAAATGAGCAAATCAGAGAACTCTAGATGCTGGCGAGGATGTGGAGAAACGGGCACCCTCCTGCACTGTTGGTGGGAATGTAAACTGGTACAGCCCCTCTGGAAAACAGTGTGGAGGTTCCTCAGGAAACTAACAATAGAACTCCCTTATGACCCAGCAATAGCACTGCTAGGAATTTACCCAAGGGATACAGAAATGCTGAGGCATAGGAGCACATGTACCCCAATGTTCATAGCAGCACTCTCCACAATAGCTAAAACATGGAAAGAGCCTAAGTGTCCATCAACAGACGAATGGATCAAGAAGATGTGGTTTATCTATACCATGGAATACTACATGGCAATGAGAAACAATGAAATCTGGCCATGTGTAGCTACATGGATGGACCTTGAGGGTGTTATGCTGAGCGAAATAAGTCAGGCAGAGAAGGACAAATATCATATGTGTGCACGTATAGGAGGACTAGGAGGAACTTAACAGAGGACCAATCGGGAGAAGAAGGGGGGAAATGGTGGGGGAAAGGGAGAGAGGCAAACCATGAGAGACTCTTGAATGCTGACAAACTGAGGACTGATGGATGTGGGGGGGAGGGGGGGATGGGCATGGAGGAGGGCACTTGTGGGGATGAGCACTGGGTGTTATGTGGAAACTAATTTGACAATAAACTATTTGTAAAAATAAATAAATAAATAAATAAATAAATAAATAAATAAAATAAAAGCAAGGTGTCTTCTTCTGATTGAATGTAAACTAGGAGAAGAGGGTGTTTGAAAGCCCAAAGGCAATAATAATCTCTCTTTAGCACGGTACATTAGTGGATGTTTATTTGTTTTTAGAGACAGACTGAGCAGGAGAGGTGGAGAGAGAGGGAGACACAGAATCTGAAGCAGACTCTGAGCTGTCAGCACTGAGCTCCACACGGGGCTTGAACCCAGAGCTATGAAATCATGGCCTGAACCAAAGTCTAATACTTAATCGCCTGAGCCACTTGGGTGCCTCCAAAATGGAATATCTTACGCACATTTTGTTAATTTTGTTAATCCTTAAAAAAAATACCTGGAAAAATGCTACTTACCATAACATATTGGTTTATGAGACCAACCATCGTTACCACACACTATTGAACCTGTGCGCCCATGTTGGCTTTCGTATCCATCGTGGCATTCATAGTCCAGCTTGTCATTGAGTTTAAACCACGTGCCATTGCTTTTGGCTTTAGAATTCTCAAACACTGGCTTGTAACAAGATTCTAAGGGATAAGAGAATTGAAGATTTCATTTCTAATATTATTTAATGGACGATGTAATTGAGTCTCATCCGAAGGAGGTACAATAAGCCTCATCAATTACTATGTGCTAGTAAATTCAGTATCATATTGAAATAATCTAAGAATTCCATTGATAAATTATTGTCCTGAAAGTTATTCAAAATGAAAAAATGCATTTCTACGTAGCAGTTTTCTTATTGCTTAAACACTCAGAAAGTTTATATAAGAACACTTTTCTCTCTCTATTATAATTCTGTGTTTATGCCATGCTTGTAATAAAATAGAATATTACAGATATATCATACTTTTCCTAGCAAAGCAGAATACGATTTTATGAATTAAGACACCAAACTCATCAGCAGTGTGGCAAATCTGCCAGAGAAAAATGGATTAGTTGAACAGGATTGGTTTTCAAAAATGCAAGTTAATTTTTTAACATTCAATAAAAACTCTACTTTAAAACATAATAATTTCTGAAGCTCACATGCTCATTTTCTTTCCCAAATATTTTCCTAATGGGTCTATATTCTATTAAACTTACCAAGATTTAATGGAGAGAAACTCTAGTATTTACAACTAGTTATAAGAAAGTAAAATGTTAAAAGCTTCAATTATTGCTAACAGTATGGTAATAAAGATTTAATAATTCATCTCAAATTTTATACTGTGTTATGTAGTGAGGTACCTTAAAGCTTTAAAAATCAAAGCAAAACTACACCAGTGAAAAAGAGACAGAAAGAAAGAGAGATTAGTGTTATAATGGATATATATATATACACATATATATATATATCCATAATAAGTATTATAATGGATAGTTAATTAAAATTTAGTATAAAATGAATTTTATATGGGTCCCACTTTTATCATTTTATCTGTGGCTAGTGCTCATAGTAACCAAGAAAAATTGAAAAAAAAAAAAAAGGAAATGCAAACAGTAGAAAGGGATATTCAAATATCCACTTCACTTAAAGTGAATATGCTCATCATCAGTTCAAAAATATCATTGCATAGCTTTGGAGTATAAGATGAACTGAGGAAATTGTTCATAGAAAATCTTCATAAACATCTAGGGACAGGGAAATCTTTCCACACCGCTGTATTTGGCGCTATCTAGACACATTTCTGTCTCTACTGACTAGATGTTTATGAAGATTTTCTAAGGGGAATGTTTAAAAGTAGACTTACCCTGGATTGTCAAACATAAATTCTACAGTTTAAATTACAATTCTGCACTATGGGCCCAAATCTTCACTTACAAACATAATTTGTATGTCTAGCATCAAAGATTCTGACTTCAAAGTCTGATCACCTAAAACCAGGAACAACAGGCATAAAGGTGTCAGCCACAAATAAATGAGTTTTCAGGAGACTATACATCAGGCTCCCTAACCAGTTTCCAAACCACAGGATATTCTAAAGTGGAAAATAATGTAAACCGAAACGATGTGCTGGTATTACACTCTACAAGTGATTACTCTTAAGAGGCAAAAAATTATATATTTTTTCATTTATCTTTTCTTTTGTTTCTTTTTTTTAACATTTTAATGTTTGTTTATCCTTGAGAGAGTAAGAGAGACAGAGAATGAGCAGGGAAGGAGCAGAGCGAGAGAGGGACACAGAATCTGAAGCAGCTGCAGGCTCTGAGCTGTCAGCACAGAGCCCGACGTGGAGCTCGAACCCACGAACCGTGAGATCATGACCTGAGCCGAAGTCGGACACTTAACCGACTGAGCCATGCAGGCACCCCTTCATTTATCTTTTCAAATGGGAACCATGTAAGCCCTTCCCCCGAGAAAAGAATTAACTTAGAGGAAACTTTGGTCAATGGTCATCAGGATAATGACTATGGACATAATAAATTACTCACTAATACATGTGGGTTGAGGTGACCATCCACTTTTCAGACATGTAATTGTTCCTGAAGGTTTACCATCTGGTGTTACATATCCTGGTTTACACTGATACTGTGTTTCTGTGTTTAAGGAATATGTTTGTTCATATTCAGAAAAAAATCCATTTTCAATTGTTATCTCTGATTTTGAACATGTTTCTGAAAGGCAAAAAGTATAATGAAAACATAAGCATATAAATAAACATTTTATAAAGCTTCAATATAACAATATAGAAATAAAGTGTCATTTATACATGAAAACCTGGAAAAATCCAAATCACTCAAATTCTTATGACAGCAAAAATAAGCTACAAAGATATTAAATCAAGATAGTTTATTAAATTGTTTTTGGAATGAAGTACGATTTAGAATACTCAGAACCCATTCTAGGAAATATTTAGGAATCTGTTGGTCTAATGGATCTGGAGTCCTACAGCATGTCAGAGCTGCACTGGCAATGGGTCCTTTCCAGGCACTTTAAAAAAATATTGCTGACTCAGGATCTCCTAGACAACCCCAGCACTCAGTTAACTAACTGGGGTATCTCAGTTCAGGTGGCAATCTCAGAGAATCTGCCACCATAGCTACCACCACTCTGAGAATCTGAAATGTTTGTCACCATATTTGGGTGCTTAAAACCATATGGATACATGGAGTTAAATGAGTATGACACAGATCAACACATTCATTCGTGTTCTAAGACCAAAATGATGATTCCTCAAATTATGTGTAGCTTGACTTGAAACAATAAAAGAAGACTTCTGTCATCTACAAAGTCTTCACAAAGTACAGCTTTATTATTAAATAACCCACAGATAAAGAAGAAATCAAGAGAAAATATGAGCTATATATTTTTTCATAATTGGCCATTGGTAATTTTATCCCTTCACTTGTACACTTTTCCTAGTACACTGGAAATGGGGTACTTGGAATACTAAATACTCAGGATAAGGACTAAAGTATATAATCTTTTTGTAAAAAGACATTAAATCTTTTGAATTGAATGATAAGAAAAACACTTTAAATAAAATTTTTTGAGCTGATAATAAAGGATTCTTAGAGGGAAATTTTACCATTATATGCATACAATAGAAAAGAATAAAGAATGAATATCGATATCAGGAAATGAAAAGCAAACAAAACCCAACATGCATATAAATTTGAAATGACAGAATAGCGACAATGAGAGGGTGGAATAGGGTATTTTCTTATTCTCTATTTGATTTATTTCCACTCTAATCTTTATTATTTCCTCCCTTCTAAATTTGGGTTAGTTTGTTCTTTTGCTAGTTCCTCAAGGTATGAAGTTACATTGTAATATACAATCTGCTACTTTAAGCTAAATTGTTTTGTTTATTTATTTTGAGAGATAGCCAGAGAGAGCCCTTGCACATGCGTGGCACGTGCGCGCGCGCGCACACACACACACACACACACACACACACAAAAGGGGAAAGAGCAGAGAGAGAGGGAGAGAGAATCCCAAGCAGACTCTGTGCTGCCAGCACTACTGTGAGGCCCAATCTCATGAACTCAACTGTGAGATCATGACCTGAGCCGAAATCAAGAGTTGGACACTCACTGGCTCAGCCACATAAGTACCTTAATCTTCTATTTTAATGTAGGCATTTATCACTAAAATCCTCCCTCTTTGTACTACTCTTGCAGGATCTCTGAATTTTGTTACATTGGTTTTGTTCTCATTTGTCTCAAAATATTTTTTAAAATTCTCTTCCACTTTCCTCTTTCACCCAAATGATACTTGAAAGTGTGTTTTGCTTCCACATATTTGTGAATTTTCCCATTCTTTTTGCTGTTACTGTTTTCTAAACTTATCCCATTGTGATTGAACAAGGTACTGCATAGACTCTTTCATGCGCAGTAGAATGTATTCTTCCACTTTTGGGTGGAAAATTCCATGTATATCTATTAGGTCCACAAAATGTTTACAGTGTTGCTCAAATCTATACCTTCTTTCTTGGATTTCTGTCTATGTATTCTATTTATGATTCAAAGTGAGGTACTGGGGGCATGTGGGTGGCTCAGTCGGTTAAGCGTCCGACTTCGGGTCAGGTCATGATCTCACAGTTCATGGGTTTGAGCCCCATGTTGGGCCCTGTGCTGACAGCTAGCTCAGAGCCTGGAGCCTCCTCTGATTCTGTGTTTCCCTTTCTCTGACCCTCCCCTGCTCACACTGCCTCTCTCTCGGTCTCTCTCAGAAATAAAATAAAACATTTAAAAAATTGAAAAAATAAAGTGAGGTACTGAAGTCTCCTAATACTATTGAATCGCTGTCAATTTTTCTGCTTCAGATCTGTCAATATTTGCTTTATATATTTAGGAATTCCAAGGTTGGTTCCACATATGTTGAAAATTGTTACAATCTTTGTGCTGAATGGATCCTTTATTATTATATAATGATCTTCTGTCAGCAGAGATAGTTTTGACAGAAAGTCAGCTTCTTTTTTCTGATAGAAAAATAGCCACTCTAACATTCTTTGGTTGCCATTTGCATGAAAATCGTTCTCCATTCCTTCACTTTAGCCTATTGTGTCTTTATTTATTTATTTTAAAATATAATTTATTGTCAAGGTTACTACATACCGTGTATACAGTATGCTCTTATGTCAGGAGTAGATTCTCATGATTCATTGCTTACATATAACACCCAGTGCTCTTTCCAACAAGTGCCCTCCTCGATGCCCGTCATCTATTTTCCCTCCTCCCTCCCTACCCCCATCAACCCTCAGTTTGTTCCCTTTGTTTAAGAGTCTCATATGGGTTTGCCACCTCTCCGTTCAAAACTATTTTTTCTCCTTCCCTATCCCCATGGTCTTATGGTGAGTTTCTCGAGTGTCTCAAGTTCCACAGATGAGTGAAAAGATATGATATCTTTCTCTGAGTGACTTATTTCACTTAGCATAATACCCTCCAGTTCCATCCATATGGTTGCAAATGGCATGATTACATTCTTTCTCATTGCCAAGTAGTATTCCATTGTATATAAAAACCATTATCCTTATCCATTCATCAGCTGATGGACATTTAGGCTCTTACCATGATTTGGCTATTGTTGAAAGCGCTGCTATAAACATTGGGGGTGCATGTGCCCCTTTGAATCAGCATTCCTGTATCCTTTGGACCAATTCCTGGTACTAATATTACGGAGTCAAAGGGTAGTTCTAGTTCTCATTTTTTTGAAGAACCTCCACACTGTTTTGCAGAGCAGATGCACCAGCTTGCATTCCCAATAACAGTGTAGGAGGGTTCCCGTTTTCTCCACATCCTTGCCAACATCCGTTGTTTCTTGAGTTGTTAATTTTAGCCAATCTGACTGCTGTGTGGTGGTATCTCAATGTGGTTTTGATTTGTATTTCCCTGCTGATGAGTGATGTTGAACATCTTTTCATGTGTCTGTTGGCCATCTGGATGTCTTCTTTGGAAAAGTGTCTATTCATGTCTTCTGCCAATTTCTTCACTGGATTATTTGTTTCTCAGGTGTCGAGTTTTTAAGTTCTTTATAGATTTTGGATACTAACCCTTTATTCAATATGTCATTTGCAAATATCTTCTCCCACTCTGAAGGTTGCCTTTTAGTTTTGTTGACTGTTTCCTTTGCAGTGCAAAAGCTTTTATCTTCATGGAGTCCTACTACTTCACTTTTGCTTTTTTTTACCTTGCCTTCGGAGACATTTGAGTACGAAGTTGCCGTGGGTGAGGTCAAGAGGTTGTTGCCTGTTTTCTCCTCTTGGTTTTCATCATTTCCTGTGTCACAATTAGTCCTTTCATCCATTTTGAGTGATTAGGAACATGTCAGTGATGTACACTCTCTACACTATTAATTAACATAGTGTTGGAAGTCCTACACTCAGCAATCAGGTAACAAAATGAACTGAAAGGCATCCAAATTGGCAAAGAAGAAGTCAAACTTTCACTTTTTGCAGATGACATGATACTCTATGTGGAAAACTTGAAAGATTCCATCAAAAAGCTGCTAGAACTGACACATGAATTCAGCAGAGTAACAGGATATAAAATCAATGTATAGAAATCAGCTGCATTTCTATACACCAATAATGAACGAACAGAAAGAAAATCAAGATATTGATCCCATTTACAATTGTACCAAGAACCATCAGATACCTAGGAAAATACCTATCCAAAGGACTAAAAGCTCTGTATGCTGAGAATTCTACAAAACTCATGAAAGAAAGAAACGTGGAGAAGACACAAAAAATGGAAAAATATTCCGTACTCATGGATTGGAAGAATATTGTTAAAACATTAATACTACCTAAAGCAATCTGCACATTCATGGAATTCCAATCAAAACTGCCCAAGCATTCTTCTCAGAGCTAGAACAAACTATCCTAAAATTTGTATGGATCAACAAAAGACTCCGATTAGCCAAAGTAATGTTGAAAAAGAAAACAAAGTAGGAGGCATAATAATCCTGGACTGTAGCCTCTACTACAAAGTTGTAATCATCAAGACTGTAAGGTACTGGCACAAAAAGAGACACTTGGATCAACGGAATAGAATACAGAACCCAGCAATGAACCCACAAATGTATGGCCAACTAATCTTTGACAAAGCAGGAAGGAATATCCGATAGAGGGAGAAAAAAAAACCCAACAAACCAGTCTCTTAAGCAAATGGTGCTGGGAGAACTGGACAGCAACATGCAGAATAATGAAACCAGACCACTTTCTGCCTATTGTGCCTATTGTGTCTTTAAATTGAAAGTGAGTTCTTCGTTAAGTCATTCAGGTACTTTATTCCTTTGAACAGGTAAATTTAAACAATTTATATTTAAAGAAATTATTGATAGGTGAACACTTACTATTGACATGCAGCTAACTGTCTTCTAGTTTGCAGCCGTTTTTTCAATCTCTTGTTCTTTTAGTGGCTTCCTTTGCTTTTTGATTATGGTTTATAGTTTAAATAGTTTGATCCTTATCTCTTTATGTTTTGTATGTCTATTACATGTTTCCCTCCTTACTTTACTGGAGTATAGTTGACAAAATTGTATATATATCAAGTGTAAAATGAGATGACATGGTACAGATATATTTGGAAATAATTTCAAAAAAAGGTTAATCAACACATTAATCACCTCACCATAATTACTTTCCTTCTTTTTTTTTTTTTTTAAAGCT